AGTTTAGACAAGGAATGCATACAACTCCTTCCCTCTTAGCAAGCAAAAACAAAGGACCAAAGGGAAAGAACCACCATAAAATTATTACAGATTTGGAACATAAAATTTCCAAAGAACCAATAAAGAATGAAATTATTCCGGAATCAAGACTGAATGATTATTTATTAATGTCCTTATCCTATATAAATGGATCATTTATAGAGACAACAAAACAGCTGGTCTCTGCATCTGATGAAATTGAACAAGAAAAAAGGAATAACATATACAATGCAAAAGTTTGAGGTTGTTGAGCCTGAAAAGTCATCATGACTTTAAACTGTATTTATGTCATGAAGCTCGCCAGTTTTTTTTCAATTTTGTAAAAGTTTCTTTCTTTCTTTCTTTTATTGAATCACCGTGAGATACAGTTACAAAACTTCCATGTTTGAGTTTCAGTCAATGATCAAACACCCATCCCCCTACCAGTGCACATTTTCCACCATCAATGTTGTCAGTATCCCCTCCCCTGCCTCTATTTCCCTCTTACTCTCTCTCGACTTATGGGCATTATGGTTTGCAATAGAGATACTGAGAGACCATCATGTTTGGTCCTTTATCTACTTTCAGCACACATCTCCCATCCCAAGCGATCCCTCCAACCATCATTAACCTAGTGATCCCTTCTCTATCCCAGCTGCCTTCTCCCCCAGCTGATTGGGCAGGCTTCCAACCATGGAAAGCTCACCAGTGTAAAGATCAGAAAGCTTTGGTTTATTCTATGGCAAAATAAATATAACTCTAGCCAAGTTACATGATATTTCTGGGTTCATTTACCTCACCTTAAAAAAATAAGCTTATTGGGCAATATAAAAATTTAAAAAATAAGATAAAATCATGTCTGAAAACATACTCAGAATTCATTTTTGTCTCTACTTACTGCTGAAACATGTTGTGTGCTTTGATTTGTCATTTATAAAATGAAAATTAGAGTATAATCATCTCATTCTGTTAGTTTGGAAGGTTTGTTGAGATTAATAAATTTATACCATAATGCAAAAACACAGAAGCACTAAGTGCTGTGCCTGTCTCAATTAAGTTAGATGCTATTCTGGCCGTTGTTTGTTGTTTGTTTATTCTTTGTCTGTTTTGGGATTTTTGCTGTTGTTACATTTATGTGCAAGTAACTAAAGTTAATTCTGGTTGACTAAGTACTGAAATATTTTTTAAAAGATATTAGCATACTGAGTCTTTGGATTTGAAAATGTACATTTAAGAATAAACTTTTACACAATAATCCCAAGACCACATTAATTTTTTTAATAAAATGTACATTAGTACCACTGTAATTTCTGTACCAGATTTGATTTACTTTATTATAACCATGACTACCCCAGCTATAAAGGAAGCTAGAAATGCAAGCTTATGGAATTATTTTGAACACAGCTTTGTCCAAATTATATATGTGTAAATATATATAATTGGATTTTATATGGATATATATAGAGAGAGAGTTGACCATAGTCCACACAACCTCCACAGTATTATATATTCCCTAAAATGATTTGTTGAAGTTTGCACAGATTTACCCAAATCCAAGAAGATGGTATGTATAATAGCCTAAAGTCTAAATAGGCTGCTTAAAATATATGTCACAAAAGAAACTTAAAATGTTCTTATAAATAATCAACTAGATAATTTCAATATTCAATATTGAAATTAGTCATTACATAATTATAGCATAATTGAGTCTTCAAATTTTAATTTACTGAATTGAAGATTTATACCTATTTATATGTGACTAGAGAGATTAGTAAATGAATTCCAAGCCTTCTTTTGGAAAAAAATGTAAGTTCACAGAGTTTAATTAACTTTCCCTAATGGAAAACTGAAAACTATATTCCTTCTCACTAAACTATTAATATAGCTATTCTGCTTTGGGAGAATGCATCCAAAATGGACATCAGCCAAGAGGGGAAGGAGCAGTTATAACTGTGCTTTATCTATTTTAAACTCCTCAACTATAAAAATCATGCCTAAAATACCAGCAATCCAGTTCCCAACTGTCCTGAGTAATGGACAGCTATTCTAACCCCATGACTAATGCCCAACGCCTGTCTTAAATTGCTCTGGACCTCCACCACTACATTCCAAGGCCAGTGGGTGGTTCACAGAGCAAATTTTCTCCATTGTGTGAACTTCATGAACTTTCTGGCATCTCTAAACCTATAGAACTCTTTATGACCCTAAAACAGTTCTCAGAGGTTTTTTTTGTTTGTTTTTGTTGTTGTTTTTAAGAGCTTATAGGAACCACAGAAAGGAAACAGACTTTCCTGCATATTTTGGCTCATATGCAGCTGAAGTTTCCTATACACATAATATGCACAAAAGTCTCTTGAGATTTTCGGCAATTTTATCAAGAAAGAAAAAATTTAAAGGATAATCTAATGAGTGCCTGTTTTCAAACTATTAGGCAAAGCTTGTTAAAGCAAAAATTATGATAGAGCCAATATATTGCTATGGGATGAAAATCTGGTTTCTTCAAACTGACGGGTAAAAGTAAAGTACTCTCAAACTTAATTAAATGCATTCCAACAGAACATTAAATCATATATTTGGAGCTGTTTAAAATATCAAAAGTGGTGTTAGAGGGATCTTTATTAAGCAAATGAAAACGGTTGACCCAAAAATTAGATTGCAATTCAGCTATATGAATATGCCTCTCTGTAAGCCTTAGACGTGAAATAAATGGGCTGAGTAGATAGCTAAAATGGTTAGAGCACATACCTGGCATGCAGAGGGCACCAGGTCAATCCCTAGTCTCCTAACACCGCCATGTTTATCCCTGGTAGCCCTCAGTACTGCTAGGAAGGCACCAAAACAAAATTAAAACACACAAAAAAGATGTATGTTCTCCCCTCAAATTTGTATTATAAAATTACTAGGAAATGGGAAGGATTTTAAATATAGAAGAATTTGGAATTTAATGTCATGGTAATCTTTTTCCACTGTAGTAATTCAAATGCGTAGATCTGTTATGTGATTCTTTCCAAGGCTACAAAATATAAGAATGAAGAGGACAAATTCTGAAACCAAACTGCCTGCATTCAAGTTCTGACTTCTCTATTTCCCAAGAATGTGACGTCAGAAAATAGTTCTTTCACAAAATGGGGAGAGTAATAGCACTAAGCTCATGATGATTTTAAGGATTATAATAGTATTGATTTACCTAGTAAGTGCAGAAAAGAAATAAAATATTTCACATGTCTTGAAAATATAAAAATGTTTCAAATTTACATTTTAAAGGAAATTCTTAGTTAACGTGTAACTCATTCCGAGAGTTCTTTTTTTCTATAGCACTTTGCATTCCTCAGATTTCTCAAAAATAATTTTGTAACTGACTATTCCGAGAGAGCACATAAAGAAAGAAAAAAATACAAAAAGTTTTGAGACAAACATTTAAATATTTAGTAAGATTTTTGAAAATTATCCAGATGTATGAGGCAAAAGTAATCATAGTAAGAATACCTATCTAGCACTATAATAAAAATCATTTAGGATAAAGAAGTAATTATAGCACTGACATTTGAGTGCTATAATCCAAAAACTCTTTGTGCTAATACCTAAAATAGTTGAGAAAGATTAGTTGATGCATGTAAAGATTAAGCCATGAATTTAGAATGTTTAATTTTAAACTATTTCTTAAAACAATGCATTTAACCATTAATGTTACACATAAAAAATATTTAGAAGGACAGAGATAATATTTTAACAGTAGTTACATCTGTGTTTGAATAGGTTGTTATGCAGAGTGAAATACAGAAGAATTTCTATTTTCATCTTACATATTACACATTACGTGGTTCTTATAGCTCAAGCCTTTACAAAAGTATCAATCAGAGTCAGTAAAACATTTGGAAATTTGGTTCCTTTTATTTTCTTTTCTCCAAAATCACAATAAAGTATAAAGACAATGTGCTTAGTCTATGCATAAGAGAAAAGCTAATTTACCTTTCCAAGCAAATGAACTAATTTCAGATCAATAATGGTTCATTAGTTCCCATGCTTCACTTTGGGGCTTTTAAAGCTATTTTTAGGTCTTGAACCTCAAGAAAAAGTCAGTATGCACCAATGTCATTCCTCTTTAAAAGAGGTACTGACTTTACCAAAGATTTGTTAGAAAAAAGAGAAAAAATATAATCTAGTTCTATTTGGATTGGTAAATATCAATAGCATACCAACAACCATCCAACATTATTTGGATCTAATACCTCTATCAAAAACCTCTCACTATCTTGCCTATTTTAGAAACATTTAAATCCTTCCCCAAATAACCCCCAAATTAGCCAGCCCACTCCTTAGCCAGCCCTCTCCTTACAATGTCAATTTTCATAAAGTTTCTATTTGTGGACCAATATTGCCATACTTAACATATGAAACCACTAAAACTAGGGAGGCAAAAAAATAATTAATAACTATTGAATATGCATTACCTGCCAAGAATTATGTCATGCATATTTAATGCATTATTCCCATTGATCAAAAACTGATGCTATTCCACATGCCGTAAGAGAAAGCTGAGATTCTGAGAAGCTAATTCATTTTTCCAAGACCCCACAGCTACTGAGTTATACAGCCACCCCCAAGTATTTTAATTCTTATGACAACACCACACTTCAATTCAATATCAGAGACCTGAATTCAAATTATGGTCAGATCCCTTACAATCAGGTTGTGATAAATTTGAATAACCGCAGAAAATAAGTAATCCCTTATGTTTTTTAGCAGTTAACATGATTTCATAGTGCATTAGTTGAACAAATTGCTGAAACACAAAGCATGTCATTAAAATCCGCATAAAAGAAAGTCTTTGAGTTTTATCCTTTGTCTTGCTTGCTACTATGACTTGTTGATGATAAATATGCTCCTTGCTGCGAAATGATTCAAAAAAATATCCAAAGTACTCAAACTAAAAATTCAATTGTTTTCTTTTCTTTCTCATACAATTCACTTTGGAATTTCAGGAAAATGGACAAAGAAAATATGGAGGCCCTCCACCTGGTTGGGACGCTGCACCCCCAGAAAGGGGTTGTGAAATTTTTATTGGGAAACTTCCTCGTGACCTTTTTGAGGATGAACTTATACCATTATGTGAAAAAGTAAGTCCAACTTTAATATGAATTTTCTTTTCTTTCAAAGGATATCTACTCCACTTCGCTTTCAGTCTATTTTTCATGTGATGGTTTCTCTTCTATGATTTGCCATTCCTCAGTCATGAACAAAGTTAAACACTGTTAACAACCTTGGTATTAACAAAGTCCCTTTATTATCATTGTTCTTGACACAGATCTTTGTCAGTAATTAACTTTTTGAACTACCATTGCTAATTACTGTATCTTGATTCCTGACTGACACTGTAAATTCACTTTCTATCAAAAAAACTACAAAAATTAATAAAATATTACTTTATCCCCACATTTTATGCCAGTATCAACTGTATGTAAATTAACTTTAGATTCAGAACTGCTTCTAATTTTCCATATGCAATGATAATGGGCATGTGGACAAATTTTGATGAGTCTTATGTATAGAACCTGAATAAGCATCAAAGAAAATGTGAAACACAGAAATGAAAAATACTTGAACTCTTTTTTCATGAGCACCACAAAAAATAGGCATCCATCTCTGAAAATTTTGAGGTTAAGTGGGATAAAATTGAGCTAAATTTAACCTACCACTGGGGTAATTCCATAAATTTAATGATGCCTCTTCTGCCTACCCTACACCTTTTATCTACTTGAGCCATCCTTCTTAAAGAAGAAAACAACAAGAAATTGTTGATTCTGGATTTCAATAGAACTTTCTTAGGTAACAGAAAGAAATAATAGCAAAAGAATAGCCAGAGGAATAGAGTTCCTTCTTAAGAAGGAGATTCTGTCTGTAGATCAGCCATCAGTCTGTAGATCTTGACATTTGTCTTCAAGCTACAGAGTGAGAAAATAGCAGAGATCCCTAGGTCATATGCTGAAACATATCTACTATGCTTTTCTCTGTGCCATGGTGGGTGGGATGAACAGAGGAAGACAGCTAAGAAGTTCAGCAAGGTACCAGATGCATGTTTCTGGTTCTTGTTCAAACATCAGTGATAAAGTACAATCATAAAGATAAAACAATGGTGATTTCAGGGTGCACTCTGGAAGGTAAGGACAAATCTACCAAAAAATTATGCTTCTGATGACAAATTTGTTTTCAGGTTCCTAAAAATATTATATAAATAGCTAGGTAAAATGTCATTTGTTCTGTCAAAATATATTTTGTTAACTCAGGCTGAAATGCCACTTATACATATTTTCTTTATTTAATTTGACTTTGCCCATGAGTCACATAGCAGATCTGAACCTAGAATGAAAATATGAAAACTAGTTCTCGTGGGATACAAATATCAAACATGGTAGAGATAGACTTCATCAAACACTGTGCATGTTTCCATTTGGGAATATCAATGTATAAATATTTTTCTTCGATTTTTATTGCTTGTAGATTGGTAAAATTTATGAAATGAGAATGATGATGGATTTCAATGGAAATAATAGAGGATATGCTTTTGTAACATTCTCAAATAAACAGGAAGCCAAGAATGCCATCAAGCAACTAAATAATTATGAAATTAGGTAAGATCCATCTTTTCTAGATTAATCAGAAAATCAACTGTATCTATTCTATCAAATATTTCTATGACAGAATGTGTAAAACAATAGCCAAATGAGTAATAAAAATGTTTTTAGTTAGTGAAAGTTGAGTGAAAGTTGTTAACAAAATAGTTATGTAATATCAGTACAGTACTAGGTGCCAAACTAAGTTCTGTAACATTCAAAGAATTAAATTTTATGAATTGACCCATTTTATGAATATGGATGGAAAATGTTTAGAGTGTTAGGAATATCAAAATATACTTTTCTTTCCTCACAGTGAACAAACGGATATATCTATTATTTAAAAGAGAAAACAGGAAATGGGATCAAGTTATATGACAATGTGACTACTCTGATTTGAAAAGTAAAAACTGATCTGAGACCTGACTGAAAATAATCAAGTCACAAGTGTCAATCTGGAGGAAAATTATTATAGGGAGAGACAAAAAGCAGCAAGTGCAAAGTTCCAAATTAAAAATCTTGCTGAGTTAGAAAAATTTTTTTAAATGTCTATGCTAATGTGACTGGCACAAAGTAAAAATGATCGAAATGCCTCATATACTGTAATTAACACCTTATATTTTTATGATAATAAAACAAGTCATAGAAGGTCTCTAATTAGATTCATACTTTGTAAAACATTACATGGGTTGTTGGATGAAGAATAGACCATAATAGAAAAAGAATGGAAGCAGAGAAGTCAGTCAAGAGACTGCTGTTGCCTTAGTGGGAAATCTTTTCTTTATGTCAAGAGTATTTGGATATTTACAACATCATTTTTGATGTGGGTCGAGGGTTATACTCAGCAATGATTAGAGATAACTCCTGGCTCTGCACTCAGGGATCACACCTGGTGGTGCTCAGGGGAGCATATGGGATGAAGAGAATCAAACCCTGTTGGCCATGGAAGACAAGCACCACACCCACTATACATCTCCCCAGTTCCTATAGCATAATTTTCAGGCCTTACAACACAGGTGAATAGGCCAGAGGCAGCTGAAGAGAAGCATGCATATCTGTTGCATCATGTACTCTAGCCAGATCATAAGCCTGCAGGAATGATGTTCCCTACCCCTGGTGTAGATGAAGATGTGATATTTGTACTTGGACAGGGAATTAGTGGTGGAGATGGTGGAAAAGAACAGATGGAGGATATATTTAAGAGTTTGAGTAGATAAGATCAATTTAGAGGGTGGATTTATTTATAATTCAGAAGGAAAAATCTGGGATTTGGTTCCAATATATGTGGATGTGGTAGTGTTATTAAGATGTCAGAGACAGAGAATATAAGGAAGCACAAAGAACTCTGCTCAGGAAAACTTCAACCTATGGAAGATAAAGAAGATGGGCACGATGATATTGGTATCAGGAGAGAGGTCGTGGTTAAAATACAAAGTTTTAGATCAGTTAAATATAGATAATGTTGAAATCCCATGGAACGAGCAAAAGTCTCCAGAACATAATTGACCTTCGTATAACAAATAACTGCATTTTTCTTCATGGAATCTGAGATAGCTCCATGAAATTATCCGAATTCAAACTTCTTCACTTGTAGAGAAAACTTTAATAGAATCTTTAATTCTTTTTTTCCTTCTTTTTCATTTCCCTCAATTTTTATTCAGGCACTGTCACTTATAATGTTTTCAAAAATAATTGTTTCAACTGCAACCGCACCACTAAACTCAATTTAACTCAACAGTTCCAACTCCAAACCCACCACAATGTCAGCGTCCCTTCACCAATAACCCAAGGTCCCTTCTCATTAAATTAAATTTTCATAGATTGGGCCACATGTTTATGACATGTTGTATGTTAGTTTACAAGTTATCTCACCTCTTAGATTCTTTTTTTAAGGAAAACATCCAAATTAAGGCCATGCAGCATTAAAAAGCCTTTGAGGTCAGGGAAGACTCACTTGAATGTCAGCAAGTAACAAAAGCTTTCCTCTCTTCATTGTTTTCATCAACAAAGTGTATATAATGATACTTCATAGTTTTTATTGTGGGGTAAAGATTTTTGAAAGTACATCCTAGGTTTAGAATGTACTAACAAGTTGCTAATAAATTATAAAACTCATATTTGCTTATGTTAATAATACTCAAATGAGTTTTTCATGTTTCTATAAATGAGATGTATCTTTAAATTGGATTAACAATATTGTATCTTAAATTTGATGAGAATAGAGTTAGTTTCTCTCTTTCTTATAGAAGTTAGAAATAAATTTAAATATAAATTTACATTTATATTTAAATAAATATAAATCCCAAATAAATTCCTTACCTTATAATTATATCAATCAGTCAATTCCTGAGTCATTCTCTTTAAACACAAAAGATGAACTGAATTTGTCAGGGGTTAGTTGTCCAGTACAACAGTTCCAAGGCTGTATTCTGGAACACGTCTTGGAGGAAATATAAAGGAGGCTCCCCCACCCCTCTCGCACAGGTCTTCTTGGATCCCAAGAAGCCTGGTCAGGTAAGTTGAGGATTGTTAGACATGAGAATCGAGAGAGCTGAAGTTTAACTCAAAGTCCTTTGGATAAATTATCATCCATTTTATTCTTAGCTCCTGATCACACAGGAGTCTCAATCATATAGAATAATAAATACTAAGGTGCACAAATATTTTCATAAAGCTATTTAATATTAGAGTTATATAGTTTCAAGGACTGGAAAATTCTCCACTCTAGTATTTTGTGAAAATTTAAAAGCAAGGATCTGAGCTGGAGAGATAGTCTAGTCAGGCACTGGCCTTGCAAAGGCTGACCTGGCTTCCAACCCCAGCACTCCAAGCCTGCCAAGAGTGATCACTAAGTGCAGAGCCAAGAGTAAGCCTTGAGCACCACTGGTATAGTTGTTCCACTCCCACAAAAAAAGCAAGGATTATTCCAAAAATGGCTTTAAGTTTGAGATAGGTATAGCATTAACTCTCTAGGAAAGCAGACTTCACTCTAGGTTTGCTTAATGTTTTGGTGCCCATAGGGCCTATGAACAGTCTTTGAATATTGCGTGTTATAAATAATGAGGGCTGGAGCGATAGCACAGCGGGTAGGGCGTTCGCCTTACACGCCGCCAACATGGCCGACCCGAGTTTGATTCCTCCGCCCCTCTCGGAGAGCCCGGCAAGCTACCAAGAGTATTCGATATGCCAGACACAGTAACAACAAAGTCTCCAATGGAGAAGTTACTGGGCCCGCTCGAGCAAATCGACGATCAACGGGAGGGCCTTTACCTTTTACCTTATAAATAATGAATACAGTCTACCATGTTCACTGATAAATTACAGAATTTCTCTCTGACTTTATGTTTTTTCATCCATAAAAACAGAGATAATTATATACCATTCCCCTGGAGGGGTGGTAAAAAGATTGGATAATGCACTACAACTTAGTACCTAACATAGGAGATGCTCTACAAACGCTTACTGATGTCTAGAAGTGATTGTGTTGTGTAGGAGGAGAAATAAGAGAGAATTAAGACAAAGCATTTGAGAAGAGAAAGTTGTTGGTCAAAATTTCACCCAAGTTCAGAGTGTAAGTCAAAAGCCTAGTGATGGCACAAAGGTAAAGGACAGACATCTCAAACCTATTTTACCTATTCCCAATCTCTGTGGGGTCTATCCTGTCAAAAGAACCCAGACTCACTTTGAATTTTCTTCTAGCTGCTCTCTTCTCAGGGGATGGATAAGATTCTCATCTGGAAAAGACCCATATTTGTCCTGCCATCCTCCTTCACATCAAATATTTGCTGAGCACTGTCTAAATGCCTGCTCTGAAGACATTAAAGCTGTGCTCTTAGCTTTTGAGAGGTGGTTCTTTGTCTCCAATGAGTTCTGGGAAAGGTGCCTGACAAACCGCTCAGATTTTATGAAGGATACAAACTCTCTAGACTCCCCCTACTGATGACTGAAGCCTATCCAAACCCATAGTTATAATATATATATGTAATTTCTAAAGAGATGTACTGTAAAAGAGGAGCTTTAAGCAAATTTCTTGTGCTAAAAGATCATTTTGTCAGCCTTTCCCTGAACTTCCCTTTCCCCAAAGAAAAACTCAGGCAGCATTTGAAAAACAGAGACACACCTGCCCATGTCTGATTTGTGGTCCTTGGTTCTTTAGAAAAGCATAGGAAAAACTATGAAAATGGCCCAGTGCTCTTCTGAGTGCCTGGATTCTCATACCACAGCAAGCAACTGGTTCCAAGAAATTTGAGCTCTTTCCCACTTACCTAAGCGCTTCCTTTCATGAAGAGTTTCTGTTAAGAAAATTTTATCTTCTTTTAACTGAGGAAACATGGTTTGCAATTATGCTAATATTTATGCATGAGAAGTGAATGTTACTGCACTAACAGAAGTGCCAAAAATTCTTCACCTGGTCCTTCCTCCCCCTTTCCCTCTCCCCACACCAACTCCCCCTGTCCCTCACATGCCCCCTCAGCTGGCAAACTTGGTTCTACTGTCATTTTAAATAATTGCACTAATGCCAAACCATACATTCTAATTCACAACAGCTGAAAAATAGCAAAAAAAATCACAAAAGAATAAAAGCTAAAGACTCTCCTCCAGAACCAGTGCCTTGAGAAAACCACTGCTGATTTTTCACTCTTTGGAGATTTTAATAGAACTGTCTTCTCATCACTAATTTTTTATCTCCACTAAAACCTCGCAGCACACTGTGAACTTTTAAAAAAATAAAACAAAACATGATATTTACTATTTTCATGATTGCAGAGCATTCTATGGTATGGGAAGCCCATTTTCTATTTCCCAGTGATTATCAGAGAGGTGTATTATCAGCTACCCTGTGAGACATTTACAAAGGTTCAGAAGTATTTTGGGATGACCCAATGGGTGGCCATTTACACTCAGTGGGCAGGGATGACAAACCACCTATAGTATATAATGTGAAAATGGCCAACCCCAAGGTTAGCATCACCTCAGCTCAGGTACATTAAAGCCATTCTGTATCGTTTGCTCATTTCCCATTAGAAGCTATTTTAAATCATAACAACAAATATTCTTTTACAAAAACGTTGTTGCTCTCTTTATTTCCTTAGGTAACTTTTTCAAAAACAACATTATTTGCTTAAGGGATCTGCATATCTGTTTTAGGTAGGTTCTTGATAGGTTCTGACAAAAGTACCCCAGAAAAGTTTAATTATTCTACACTCTGCAAATGGGCACATCCCAACTTGCTAAAGAGTTATACAGTAGAAGCAACAGGGACTAAACTAAGGTTCTAGAGACAGAATTCATCCCTTAAAATCTATGAAAATGTGAACAAGTGACTGGGAGTATCAAATTCTACACAGAAAATGGAAATAAACACATATTGACCCATCTGATGACCACCTTATGTAGGTAAAATAATATAACATAAACACTTACTCGTTATAAGTGTTTATAACATAAACACTTACTTGTTATATCGTGTTACAATAGTTTGTATAGTGGGGTGAAAGTAGCACCAGGGATTTAGAAAGTTAAAAGTGCCCTGAGGAGCAGGTGTCAAATCTGGACTGCACTGGGGCACGGTAAGGGTTAAAAATAACCAGTGACTCCATATCTAGTCTAAAGACAATAGTAGAAGCTATTGGACTTCAAATGACTTCTATTTTTTTAAAAAAAAATGAGCCTAGGGCATAACAAATGTTCAATGGCAGCATATCCTGAAAGTTGGGTGACAGAACTGAGTTTACCAAAAAAGTGATATGAGGTAGGAGGTGGCCTTGAAACACTGCAGGGCGCTGATGCGGGTGGTGGCTGTGGTGTTGGAACACTGTATTCCTGGAACGCTATTATTAGCAGTTTTGCAAATCATAATGACTAAATTAAAAAGGATTTTGTTTGGGGGTCATCTCCAGTAGTGCTCAGAGCTCACTCCTGACTTTGTAACAAGGAATCCCTTCTAGTGGGGCTTGGGGGACCACAAGAGGTGCTGGGGTCAAGCCAGTGTGGGGTCAAGTGTAAGGAAAGTGCTTTAATTCATGTGCTATCTCTCCAGTCCATGATAATTTAAATTTTCTCATGTAGAGTCAGTGTGGATAGATCTTCTAAATTCTCAAAAGCAACCACAACTGGTACAAAAATACTATAAAAAAAAAAAGGAAAATCAAGCATTCCATATCTGCAGGTCGTATCTGGTTTAGAGATTTTCAGCCTCTGCCTTAATAAAACATAATGAGACAAGATTCTCATCAATAAAGTTCCTGCTCTTTCTCATCAATAAAGTTCCTGCTCATTCTCATCAATAAAGCTTCTGCTTTCTTCGCAGAAATGGGAGACTCTTGGGGGTGTGTGCCAGTGTGGACAACTGTCGATTGTTTGTCGGGGGAATTCCAAAAACCAAAAAAAGGGAAGAAATTTTATCAGAGATGAAGAAAGTCACTGAAGGAGTTGTTGATGTCATCGTCTACCCAAGTGCTGCAGATAAAACCAAAAACCGGGGCTTTGCCTTTGTGGAATATGAGAGTCATCGGGCAGCAGCCATGGCCAGGAGGAAACTTCTTCCAGGTCAGCACCCCTCCCACACCCAAGAGACTTCTAACTCCACCCGACCAATCGCAGCCGCCTATGTTCCTTGCACCAGTTGTTACTTTTAAATTTTCATTCTTATTTATACATTAAGGCCAACCCAGGTTCTATTCCTCCGCCCCTCTTGGAGAGCCCGGCAAGCTACCAAGAGTATCTCGCCCACTTGGCGAAGCCTGGCAAGCTACCCATGATGTATTCGATATGCCAAACACAGTGACAACAAGTCTCACAAGGGAGACGTTACTGAGCCCACTCAAGCATATCAATGAACAACAGGAGGACAGTGCTACAGTGCTACATTAAGTGCTAGTCAGTTTTCTGAAGCTTTAGACTAGTTCTGAAAAATAATTATCCTCTGCATTCTACTCATTCTGTTATATCTAAATTGATAGGTTCTGAAGAAATCTGGAACTTTAAGCTATAGTAACTATTATGAATCCTTACATTACTTTTCTTAAGGTCAAGCATTGTTGTTTTATGAAACTTTCTAAGCAGGCTTATTTAAAATGGGTTTCATTGTCCAGTATAAATGAATAAATAATTCTGCAAATGCTATATTATTCCAATGGTAATTGAGTTGCATTTTCTGTCCCTAGTGTCTACTCATTTCTACCCAATTTTATGAGTAAAAAGGGCTGGAGCGATAGCACAGCGGGTAGGGCGTTCGCCTTACAAGCGGCCAACATGGCCGACCCGAGTTCGATTCCTCCGCCCCTCTCGGAGAGCCCGGCAAGCTACCGAGAGTATTCGATATGCCAGACACAGTAACAACAAAGTCTCCAATGGAGACGTTACTGGGCCCGCTCGAGCAAATCGACGATCAACGGGAGGGCCTTTACCTTTACCTTATGAGTAAAAGTAATAGCTCATCATAGAAAATCAACTTTATTAGGTGCTTTGGCCACAAGGTAGGTCTCATTTGAGTAACTTCCATCATCTCCACCAAGTCACTTCTTCAGTCAGATCAATATAAGAAAAATTTTTGGAAGTCCCTCCTCATCACAAATTATTTGCTAAAACTGTTACAAACTAAGATGTTAGGTGAAGTTCAAAAATGATGGATTACAGTTTAGAAGCAAGATTTTCAAGAATGCTTGAAAATGTACTTGGAGAACTACCAGATTCAAAACCAAATAACAAAAAACAACAGCATCCAGAATAGTTTTGTACATGCTTAAAAATCAAGATAAGTCAATATCAGGATTAAGCCTGTAGAATTTTTTTTAAATTAGGAAATGACTTCTGAGCTTGTAGAAGATATTTTCAACATTTTCATGATGCATCACGAAATGAAAACACATAAATATTGGGAGCTACATATTTTTAAAGGAGACACTTCCATTCACTACTTCCTCTGCTCAAATGGTCAGATTATCTGAAAGGGTGAATATCTTCACTTAAACTCCCCATAGGGCATAGTTAGTCTCTCAGTAACCTAGCCTTAACATTTTCATTCTTCAACTCCTCTCTTATTCATCAGGAGTAGTTCTGCCACTGAAAAATTTCAGTTGATTCAGTTCTTGGGTGACCATTAATTATATGCAAATATGTACACAGATGGATCCAAACTTATGGTGGTTTGATTTAACAATTTTTCCACTCTATAATTATGCAAAAATACACACTCACTAAAACTGAATTGAATTTTTAACTAGGGAATCCCCTCTTTCAATTTCAGTATGATAAACTATTTGAGACAGTCAACATATGATTATAAAATATACTTTGTGTTGCAAGATATTTCCCAACTATGACTAACCTAAGTGTTCTAATCATATTTGAGATGGACTAAGAAAGTCTATGTTACTAGATTATCTATATTGTTATTTTGATTTTAAATGCTTTGACGTAAAATTAAAATTTTAGGCCCATTTTAGGACAAGAAAGATCTGTATTACAAATCTTAGACTAGTTTTCTCAAGATCTTATTTTTCTCCCAGTCCTTTTCTCTCTTTAATGTAATAAACCCTTTGCCTATTAGTTATTAGATATTTGCGTCCCCCCCAAATTATGTCATCCTTTCTTGACAATTGAGAATTAGATCTCTATCTTCTAAGGAATTGAATGGTTTCATTCACTCATCAGGTCATCAATACTATCCTACTCTTTGCTCTATAGGAGATAATCTCTGAGTCTGTCATTCAAGAATTTTCATCCATGACCCCAGACCCTTACAACTATATTTGTTTCCCTTTCCAAAACAAAAACAAAACTGCCTCCCTTTTTAAAAAAAATTTATTAGTAAAACACCATGAGGTCCAGTTGTAGATTCACAAATTTTTGTGCTTGCGTTTCAATTATACAATGATCGAACACCCATCCCTCCAACCAGTGCCCATTTTCCACCACCACGGGTCCCAATATCCCTCCCACCCCCCTTTCCCCCATCCCACCCTGCCTCTGTGGCAGGGCATTCTCTTTTGTTCTCTTTCTCCTTTTGGGTGTTGTGGTTTGCAAAAAAGGCATTGAGTGGCAATCATGTTTGCTCTATAGTCTACTTTCAGCATACTTCTCCCATCCTGAGAAGATCCTCCCAACACCCTTTATTTGGTGCTCCCTTCTCTATCTGAGCTCCCTTTTCCCCTAGAATGTGTGGCTGGCCTCCAAGCCATGGATCAAAACTCCTGGTACTAATCTCGGCCACTCTTGGGTGTTAGTCTCCTATTTTGTTACTTTATGTTCCCCAGATGAATGCAATCTTTCTATGTCTGTCCCTCTCTTTCTGACTCATTTCGCTTAACATGATACTTTCCATGTAGTACCACTTGTATGTAAACTTCATGATTTCGTCTTTTCTAACAGCTACATAATATACTCCATTGTGTAGATGTACCAAAGTTTCTTTAACCAGTCATCTGTTCTCAGGCACTCAGGTTTTTTCCAGATTCTGGAAAACTACCTCCCTTTTTATCAGAAAAAAAATTTTTTAACGTCCTTTTTAGTGCTATAGGCATTTCTGTCTTCTTTATTCCTAATTTTGTTAACCCCCAGCTACCCCCTAGCCCCCACATACACACACACTAGAATAATGGCTTTCTCCCTCTCTGCTTATAGTATACAAAGGCCCAAATCAGTCATCACTTTCTTGAAAACCTTGCTCCAACTTTTTGAGTCCACCTTAACCACTTTCATTTTCTGTTAAAACGGTCATTTGAAGAAGGGCTCAATAACAGAAGAGGGTTCTGAATGAGAGGAAGACTATTTTCAGGCTCCAATCAATCAGTAATCCTGAAGAATGTGAACATCCTATCATTTTATCCTTTCTTCAAGGACAAAAACATGTTGACCCACAGAAAGTGCTTCTGTTTTCTGTTTTGAATTTAGCAGACCAGGCAGGGCTAAGTCCCCAGGATTCAGAAACTCTGAAGCAGTTTGTGATGCTTCCACCTCCAAATCCCAACTTGTCCCTACAAATTACTCTTTGCTTAGGCTTCTATAGTAGGCTGCATTGCTCTCTCCATTCACTGTCCTTCACCACCATCCAAGGCAGCCCTCCTTGCCCATGGCTGCTTGAGTTGGCATCAGCTGAGTAGAATTATTTTCCAGTAAGATTTTCTTCAAACCACTTTATCAACATACTAACAATATGAGAAACAATAGGAAACTAAACAGAAAGAACAAATGATTTTATTTCTACTGAGGCCTGAAAGTAAAGTCTGTGAGTCATTTGGACATTCTCCCTATTACTTCACCATAGATTCCACAACAACAAAACAACAAAATGGATTTTGGTAACTGGAATCCTCTAGAGAGTCTGATTTTAAAGAATGGGGAGATCTTTAAGAAACACAAGGAACAAGAAGCTTTCCTTCTTAATTGATTCAGACTGGAGACAGAGAAAATTAATTTCACAAGAGATCTCTTGGCTCCTCGGCTACTCTATTAACAGCAGAGGCTGTCTACAAAAAAAAAATGCATTTTAGTTGAGGTGCCTATGGAACAGAACTATTGAATTCTCCTTGTAAAACCATCAAGGCATTTTCAGGATGCTCTGGACAACTGCTAGCTTGTGCTGGAATCACTTGGATGGCTTGTATAAGCACAGATTTCTTTTTTTTTATTAGTGAAACACCATGAGGTACAGTTTTAGATTTACAATTTTTTGTGCTTGGGTTTAGATTATACAATGATCAAATACCCATCCCTCCACCAGTGCCCATTTTCCACCACCATGGATAATATCCCTCCCACCCCCATCCCTCCCATCCCCCCTGCCTCTGTGGCAGGGCAATCCCTTGTGTTCTCTCTCTCCTTTTGGGTGTTGTGGTCTGCAAAAGAGGCATTGCGTGGCAAACATGTTCAGTCCATAGTCTACTTTCAACATGCATCTCCTCTCCTGGGAGGATCCTCCAAACACCCTTTATTTGGAAGCACAGATTTCTGAGTCACCACTCCCACCCCAAGTTACTGATTCAGCAGGTCTGGTGTGAAGCCTGATAATTAGCATCTATGTCAGGCACTCAGGATGCTTCTGCTCCTAGACTACCAGCTTGAGAACCATTGATTTAAATCAATGAGTGTCCATTATAAGCTGTAAATATTAGTCATCTGAGAAGGTATTTAAACATGATCAATCAAATTTTACCTTAAATATCAATGGCAGGGGATGGGCATAGAAATAGTAGAGTGGGTAGTATGTTTGCCTTGCACATGGCTGACTAGCACTGCATATGGTTCCCCAAGCACCCACAGTAGGACCCCTGAGTACACTCAGGAATAAACCCCAATCAAAGTCAAGTGTGGCCCTAAAACACAAACAAATAACTAAAATTTTTCTTCCCTCCTTTGAGGGAGCTTGACTGAAATTAAAATCAATGGGATCTACTTCTCTGGGATGAAGAACTTTTTTGTTTTTGCTTTTTGGGTAACACCTGGCGATGCACAGGGGTTATTCCTGGCTCTTCATTCCAGAGTTACTCCTAAAGGTGCTCAGGGGACCATATGGGATGCTGGTAATTGAACCCGGCTTGGCCGCATGCAAGGCAAACGCCCTACCCGCTTTGTTATCTCTCCAGCCCCTGGGATGTAGAATTTTTAAAAAAAAAAATTTTTAAGTTCCCAGATGATGTTATTAATCAACCATTGCTCTACCTTTTAGCTAATGATATTTGTCATTCAGCTGCAGGGATGAGCAATTGGAATGCCATGGGAACCATTCAGTATGAAAAAATCTCTTTCCATCAACAACATATATCTCTCTCCTTGAAAACAGAGGTACACAATTGCCTTACTGAAATTCCTAAGGTCTTTATAATATAATAATGTGACTGAGGACCAAATCACAACCACGACAATTATCAAAATAATCTCTGAGGGTAGAATCCAGATTTCAGTATTTTTGAGTCTATTTAGGTCATTTCAATGTGGTATCAACTGAGACTGCTCTAAAAGACATGAAAAGGAAAAAAATGCCTAATGGTTTCTCTCAGAGTATATATTTTGAGGACAGTAAACATACAAAAAATAGACCAAAAGCAAAACTTGAGAGTTCATTATTGAATTACTATTTAAAAACTATAAACTAAGAACCTTAGATGCTTAATCTTCTTTTTACTTTACAACACCCTAGAAAGTAGGTAATTTTATTATCCTTGTTTAAACAAGCAAAAAATGATGATTGTTTCTTAGCCAGAATCATTGTTCTAATGTATGAACTTTTCTGACTTCAAACCTTTATTCCTAAATCATTTGAACTTCACAGAGACATCTATGGAAATAACTATACTTTGTAGAAATTTCTCTGCTTTGCTGTGCCAATGAAGAAAAAAGGAAAAAGAGAATACTCTAGTACAGCAATTCTCAACTTGGTCATATATGAGGATTAACTGAAGAGCTTTTTAGAATTAGAAGGGGCCAAGAGATAGTGATGGAGTAATAATTTTTAATAGCAAATTCCCAGGTGAAAACCCAAAGCCCTGAGTTTTAGTAGTACTAATACTCATACTGTGAATAGTTTCAAATTACCAAGACCAACATCACCACTCAAAAAATTTTGCAAATTCAACAATTTCTTTTTGTAAGTAGATAGGAGATGGGCGTGTTCTGTCTTGAGAAACCCTCAGATTTTAGTTGTTTGTAAAGCGGTGTGTGTAACCAAGGCAGAAAATCACTAAACTACAAAAGCCAGGGTTACTTGGGAGTTTTAGGGGTCTAGCCATATGAAAAACAGCAAAATCTGCCTGATACATAGAAAACATGGAAATAAAACAAAACGAGTGGAAGGAAAAAGAGAAAGAAGGGGAGAACAGATGAGAAGAGTGAAGGAAATTTCCTCTGAAATGCAAACAAGGTAACCAGCTGGGATAGAAAGAACCAGCCTCTTAGGGTCAGTTCTTTGTTCTGATTTCAGAAGGCCAATGTCACAGAAGCTTTTACTGACTGCCTTTCAAAGGACACAAAGACAAATTTTGATTGGAAAATAACTGCCTCCCAGGTGTGATAAATAAACAATAAAACCTTCACCAATACTGGTGGGAAATGGGCACTGGTGGAGGGATGGGTATTTGATCATTGTATAATTGAAACCCAAGCACAAAAATTTGTAAGTCTACAACTGTACCTCATGATGTCTCACTAATAAAAATTTTTTTTAAAATTTTTTTAATTAAAAAAAAACCTTCACCAGTACTAAGACATTGTGATTTTTCTCTCTAAGACTTTTCATTGCTTCCAGAGGATAGCTTATTCTGGAACAACTGATAAAAATCCAGCAAGATTTCCCATCAGATTTAGAAACTGAGTTGGCTTCACTCTCTTCTCATCATTTCATCATTGTTCTGCAATGTCTAAGGACATAGAGAAACCAAAAACACAAGAGATAGAAAGAGGACCAGAAAAGTCTAACAGACCTACTCAAGCAATCCTAAATTCATTTCCTCTCCTGTAGAAATGAGAATGTCCTCCCATCCCCAGTGAGTCACTATCAGAGACACTGAGACATCTGGTAAACATAGTGTTAGTGCAAGACACTCAATAAATTGCAACATAATAATGAAAAAGCTATGTAGCCAGGGGTAACAAATCCTCTGCTAAACTACCTTAATCCCTCACCAGTTTCTTCCATTACTCTTTACCTCTTGTTAATTAGTATTAAGGAAAAAAAATCTGCGGATTCTCAGTTTTCCATTTCCTGATAGAAAGTCAAATGCAGGACTGATCAAGATTTGATCAAGTTTAAAAGAAAAATATGAAATTAGGGATGTCTCAGTCTGACTGACCCAGGCTCACACACCATTTTTTGTACAGTTCAGGGTTGGTGCCTGGCCCCAGAGATTCCAGCAGCATCACCGATATTTTCTAGGGACCTACTTATTGCTTCATGAAATCTACTCTATCTCTGGGTCCTAAATCTACTCATTTTCTTTTTCCCTTTGTCACCTTTAACAACAATCTTAACATCCAAATATGTCCACGGCTGCCTCATTTATAGTTCATTTCAACGACATCCTAGTTCTCTTTATAATCAATCATTAAAACAAGCTACTTGTCATATAGAATTGCCTAATAAGCAGTTCTTAAGTAATGTTCCTTAAAATCAAAAATCATCTCTTTTAATTTTGGTCTGCTTGCTCAGTCAAGATTCCAAAGATCTGCTTCGAATCATCAGTCTGAAAAGAGGTATCATCTGATTTCTCTATTAATCTTACTTGTGATCCTTTTCAACAGGAAGAATTCAGTTATGGGGCCATCCAATTGCAGTAGACTGGGCAGAACCAGAAGTAGAAGTCGATGAAGATACAATGTCATCAGTGAAAATACTATATGTGAGAAACCTAATGCTATCCACCTCTGAAGAAATGATTGAAAAAGAATTCAACAATATTAAGCCAGGTAGGATAACACACATTATTTTTTCAAAGAGTGTATTAAAAACAAAAATAATTTGAGATGACTTCTCATAGCCTTAAAGGAGGCAGATGTCATTTATATAATTTTCATTATTTCATGAAAACTACTAACCTATATTCATACCTTGTTTTCTAAAGAGGGATTCATGTTCTTATATAGTTATCAACATTATAATTTATCTAAATGTTTATTTAATACTGATTTTCTTTACTAAACTACATATTCTATCCATTTTCTTTTTTGCTCCCATATCCTTCCCATCCCTGTCTCTATGATTGTGTGCATTAGATGCTCAATAAATATTTCTATATTGTTGAACAACTGGCCGTAACTATATGAAGTTTAGATATTCTGAACTAGGAATATAGTTCAGAATGTCTATATAATATTAGATATTCAGAATATCTAATCTATAGCATGATTAACATTTTGTGCCAGATAATCTTGGTTATAGGGTTTTGTGTTTTCCATTTAAGGACAGTTAAACACATCCCAGGTTTCTACTCCCTAGATGCCTCCAGCATATAACCCTCTACAAAATAATTCCCCAGAATGTCTCCATTCAATGCCAAAGACTTGTTACTGTGTTTGGCATATCTAATACGTCATGAGTAGCTTGCTAGGCTTTGCCATGTGGGCAAGATACTCTTGGTAGCGTGCCAGGGATCAGGGGCAATATTTCCAACAATTAAAATTCACTAGTTAAGAAAATTATGATTTTTGTGCCAGTTATTTAGATAAGAAAGTGATGACTAAATCTAAGAAATTAATTTTGGTTGACGAAGAAGCAAAAGGAATAGAGAGAAGAGAGAGGAATCTTCTTGTTGCTACTTTTAGGCTCAATTATATAAGCCTTGAAATTGACTCCCACATCCTTTTTTCTCAAATAGGAATTAACACACTGACATAGCCCTCCTGTTGATCATCGATTTGCTCGAGCGGGCCCAGTAACGTCTCCATTGGAGACTTTGTTGTTACTGTGTTTGGCATATCGAATACCTCACGGGGAGCTTGTCAGGCTCTGCCGTGCGGGCGAGATACTCTCGGTAGCTTGCCGGGCTCTCTGAGAGGGGCGGAGGAATCTAACTCGGTCGGCCATGTTGGCTGCGTGCAAGGCAAACACCCTACCGCTGTGCTGTCACTCCAACACACTGACATAGAAAAAGAATTTCCAGATACAGTGTCTAAGTATTTTCCAATACCTCTTCTGTATAATATTAATTCTACAACTATTAGATATTATGGACTGATAATAGCAATCCATATTCAAAAACTTTGTCAAAACCGGAATCAGAAAGATGCACCAGAATTCTTTACTGCAGGACTGATTAGAGTCCGTTACCTTCTCATATGCTTGGAAAACTCTCCAAAAGAAGACATACAGAATACTTCATTCTCAAACTATCTTATGGGTCCCTTGTAGTATACCAACAGCATAATATGTTTCTGAGTAGCAGTTTGCTATAATAAGAATTTCTCTATTTCTAGGCAATAACCCTTTAAGTTTTGGGTAAGCCCAGTCCTTCATTTTATATAGTCATATGACATGTTTCCAATTCTTGGTGCTGGATCAGATGTAATATAATTAACTATTATATAAATTATATAAATTAACTTTTATATATATTATATGGGCTAGAGCGATAGCACAGCGGTAAGGCGTTTGCCTTGCACGCAGCCAACATGGCCAACCCGAGTTTGATTCCTCCGTCCCTCTCGGAGAGCCCGGCAAGCTACCGAGAGTATCTTGCCTGCACGGCAGAGCCTGGCAAGCCCCCCCGTGACGTATTCGATATGCCAGACACAGTAACAACGAAGTCTCCAATGGAGACGTTACTGGGCCCGCTTGAGCAAATCGACGAACAACGGGAGGGCCTTTACCTTTATATATTATATAAAATAAAGCAACATTCTTATTCATTTCTTTCAGAGTTAACTTATGATTGACTCTGAAAGAAGTGAATAAGAATGTTACTTTATTTTCAAAGATTCAGCAAAGATCTTTTATTCTACAATTGTTGGGAACTCTGCCTGCCTAGCCATTTTAGTGCAATGTAGTGTTGGCACCTGTGAATCCATAACTAACACAAGAACTGTAAAAGAATGAACGACTGTGTGCCGGGTATTGCAGGGGGCAGTTTCACTTATTATTTTTTTATCACAACAATGCTATACTGTGAGTTAATTTATTGCTTACATTATTTTCTAAATAATAAAACCAGGTCCCAGATCAGTTAAGAAGCTTGACCAGAGTCAATTAGCAATTGGAAATTTCTGGTTTTGATTCCAGCTCTGGCAAACAGCATGTTCTTAAGAACCCTCTGACTTCCATGCCCTATCCTTATTTCATTCATTCAATCAATTGTCATCTCTTGAGTAATTCCTGTGTGTCAGGCACTGTGAGAGGAACAGGTATGGTAGGTATGAAAGGTGTTTAAGAATTCCCAGAAAATGATAGCATGTCAACCTCCCTAATGTGTGCTAAGAAAACTCATTCAAGAGAAGTACTGTGTAAGATAGGATATGGTTGTACTGTAGTCATCATAGGAACTGATATATGCACATACAGATATTGTTCCACCAACAATATCCCCCTTTTGATCTTCAGTCCTCAGATTAATTTTAATTTTAAAATGTTTTTATTAAAACACACTGAGTTACAAAGTTGTTCATGATCAAGTTGTTTCAGGCATACAATATTCCAACACCAACCACCACCAGTGTCCTCCTCCCTCCACCAATGTCCCCAGGTTCTCTCTCACCCCCCAGCTTCCCTCTTGGCAGGTATATAACAAATTTATTTCATATCACTTGCTCCAATTCTGATCATCCCATTTGCCATTCCAAAACTTAAAGGCAAATGGGATTATCAAAAAGTAAATAGAGGGGCTGGAGCAATAGCACAGCGGGGAGGGCATTTGCTTTGCACGTAGCTGACCTGGGTTCGATTCCCAACATTCCATACGGTCCCCTGAGCAGCACCAGGAGTAATTCCTGAGTGCAGAGCCAGGTGTAACCCCTGTGCATCACTGGGTGTGACCCAAAAAGCAAGCAAGCAAGCAAGCAAGAAAGAAAGAAAGAAAGAAGTAAATAGAAGTCAATTTGTGATGATTGATTTCTAAGTGATTTAACCAATCTAAATAATTATGTTAATTATGTTAATTCATAAATCAAAATGTTTAAAAATCCCTTAGCAAGCTAGGAATAAATGTACCTTTCTTCATCTAGTAAAGAGCCATATGCACCATCAGTGAATATCATACTCAAATGCCAGATCTAGAAAATATCCTTTTTCATGTGAACATTTACCCGTATAGTCACTGTCACTGTCACTGTCCTCCCGTTGTTCATCGATTTGCTCGAGCGGGCCCAGTAACGTCTCCATTGTGACACTTGTTGTTACTGTGTTGGCATTTCGAATATGTCACAGGTAGCTTTCCAGGCTTTGGTAGCTTGCCGGGCTCTCTGAGAGGGGTGGGAATTAAATTAATTATTACCGTTGATCGTCGATTTGCTCGAGCGGGCCCAGTAACGTCTCCATTGGAGACTTTGTTGTTACTGTGTCTGGCATATCGAATACTCTCGGTAGCTTGCCGGGCTCTCCGAGAGGGGCGGAGGAATCGAACTCGGGTCGGCCATGTTGGCCGCGTGTACCGCTGTGCTATACTTTTTATCCTTTCCTAATTAAAGCACTGACTTAGGAGGGGAAAGAAGAGAATAAAGAACTACAAAAAGACTGCTACCCTTCATTGTACTGGTTATCAGGTTTCCTGTCCACATCCCTAACACATACAGACCTTGTTAATTATAATGAAAATAATGAATGCCAGATCGGTTTCTCTTTCACTTGTTCTTTCTCTGTTTTTGTGTGTTCTCTCTTTCCACCCCACCACACCCCACCCCATCTCACCACACACACATACACACACACACACACACACACAAACACACACCTCTGACATTTTCCTTTGGGAAATGTGTACGGCTATTCCAGAGCACGTTATAATACCGGTAGTACAATTGACAGGGCTCATAGCAATGCATGATTTCCTCTCGTTAGCCCTCTATAAAAGAACATGAATTGCGAAGGGTGAACAACTGCCTGACATTTGCTATTGTGGGAGGAAAAATAAGAGCTAATGCTAATTTGTTCCCCCACCCCGCAGTGGAAAAGATGTGTTCATACTTATCTAGAATTTTGTGTGTGTGAAAAAACAGGAAAATGATTCTTTAAAAATTCCATTTAAAGTGTGGATTCCTCAGAGGAACCTGAATATTCCTGGAAAATATTCGACTATATATTATTTTAACCCTGATCAACCTAAAATATTTTGTTGCCACTCAGAGAAACAAGGGCTGGAGTGATAGCACAGTGGTAGGGAGAATTTTGTGTGTGTGAAAAAACAGGAAAATGATTCTTTAAAAATTCCATTTAAAGTGTGGATTCCTCAGAGGAACCTGAATATTCCTGGAAAATATTCGACTATATATTATTTTAACCCTGATCAACCTAAAATATTTTGTTGCCACTCAGAGAAACAAGGGCTGGAGTGATAGCACAGTGGTAGGGCGTTCACCTTACAAGCGGCCAACATGGCCGACCCGAGTTCGATTCCTCCGCCCCTCTCGGAGAGCCCGGCAAGCTACCGAGAGTATTCGATATGCCAAACACAGTAACAACAAGGTCTCCAATGGAGACGTTACTGGGCCCGCTCGAGCAAATCGACGATCAACGGGAGGGCCTTTACCTTTACCTTTACCAGAGAAACAAATTACAATCAGCAGAGCAGCTAGGGCCCGAAAATACATTTCTTTCTGACTTTAAGGGTTTCTTGCTAAATTTTGAATTATAGTCATTCACAGAATATGATTCTCCTGAAACCGTTAGACGTGTCTGAATCACCTAAAGAGCCTGCTTGAAGAATGCTAGATATGGCGCAGATGCTGGCTGAGCCCATGTGCTGCTTGTGACCATGTGGCCG